TTTTACAGTGCACAGGAACCACAGTAAACAATGAAAACTCTTAACACTCAAAGGACTTATTGCTTTACCAAGAAACTGGTATGATGTAACTGTTTTACTGCATGGTACCTAGATGTGGTGGAGGGAGGGAAATCTCCTGACCATTTTCAGCTATTGTAATTATTGAACAATCCAAGTTAACTTGTAACATTTTCACTTTTTACTAGCTTTGCACACAAAGCTGGAAAATATAAATGTGTTAAAACAGCAACATAAAATGTATACAGTATATCCATATTGTACTTTAGCATGAGGTAGAAGGTAAATATGATACCTTACTGTTGATCCACTATCCAATTTCTAGTGGTTGGATTACCTAGTAGAGTCTGGTGCTTGCAAAAATATTAATAGGCAGGTTGCTTTGACCTGCTCCTGCCTTAGATTTTTTTTTCTTTTCTAAGGCAAGAATGTTTAATTTGAAAGCCTTAATAGTTAAGAAATAGGGCCAGCACCAGGTGTCTGGTATGTCTAGTGATGATCCCATCATATTATAGAGGAATAACCACCAGTGGCCAGCAGCAGGATGTTGCAATTTGCAGATGTATATGAGTTGCACACAACTGTGACATCCTCACAATCACTGATGATGAATTTTATAAATCTCAGCCAAATGATCAAATTAAAATACTGCAGTAAGTGCACAAATTGCACTAAGACTATTTCTGCTCTCTCTCACCTACCCAGCTATTAACTCACAAATAGTGCTAGGGGATGTGGTTGATATTGTGGGTCTACAAATGTCCAGCCTGTCAGAGAAACAAGCTTTTTCAAAATTAACATATTTAAAGTTAAAATATATAGCAACAAATTGGAAGCAATAAGCATGCAGTTGCTTTCAGACTGCACTTAAATCCATGCCCCAATTTTTGAACGGTTTCCATATGAAAGTCATGGCTATGGCATCACTATTAAGAAGCCCCATGTGGAAACTTAACATCAGCAGAATTTAGTTCCATCTGGAAAGCCAGAGTGTGGTCTTCATGTTTTAAGATTCCTGCAGTATTCTAGAAACATTTGCATGCTGTTCATAAAGCCCTATTTTTTTGAACTGTACAGCCTTGTGCAGCACAATTACTATTTTTGCCATAATTTGAAATATTTTTATGATTCCTTTTAAGGTAAAGCCTCTTCATGTTTACGTTAAAATATTAAAACAACAACATATAAATGTGATTAGCTCTTCTATGTATATGCTGTAAACGTTCTGAACTAATCCAAATGTATATTAAGAATATCTGAGAAGAGACAATGCATATACAGTATTCACAGGCTGCAGGGTAAACCTGAAGTCCTGTATTGTGCCCACCTTTAACCTAACACAATGTTCAAATCTAGATAAGAAAAATGATCAAAGCAACTATCCTTTTAACACACTTCACTACACATTAACTGTTTTATGTCATAATGCCAAAGCTTGTAAAGGAACAAATATCTGGTTTTGATTTCTAGTAATCTGCTTAATGTATATTTTCTGAGTATTTGCTTCTACACTAATTAAATGTGTCAAGCTCAAGACAGATGGAACAATTGTTCTCTCTTTCCAGTTTTATACTTCTTCCAGAAGGATTCCTTAAATACTCATAGTCCTAGGCAATGGATCAAAACAGTTAAAAAAAACTAGCATGATTTCTTCTATAATAAAATAATTTTGTATTTTTGAGGCAAAATACAGATAACATTGTTTCAACCTTACTTTTTTTTGCCTTTTTAAAATTTTTATTCAACATGCTAAACAAAACAAGCAAAACAAGCAAAGCATACAAAATGTACAAAACATACAAAACCTCTACATAAACACATAAACAAAAACAACTTAAAAGTCTTCCCTATTAACAAAGTCTTGATCCTGCTTCTTGTTTTTTTTCTTCATAATTTTTATTTATTATAACATTAAAAGCAAACTATGCATATATACATCCAATCCATCCTTAACAATCATGTCATACCAAGCATACAAAAAAGACGAAAAGGACAACTAATACACATAATACAGATAATACAAATAATACCCTCTTATTCTATCTATACTATATTCTTTCATCCCGCATTTAGGGTCTTCTTAACAATTAATTTCTATTGTGATTTCTATCTTTGTGGCACTTCCTTAGGTGTACTTACATCACTCTATTATTCTGTTATCTTATTTATTTTTATCTTCCCGCATTTCTTCTTTGCCATATTTTACAATAAATTCCATCTTCTCCTTTCTCCTAGTGTTTGCAGGCATATCCATTCATCTTTTATATCTTTACCGCTTAGTTTGGCTGTATGTCCATGTCAACAGCTTCTCTCAATCTGATTAACCATTCTGCTTCTGTTGGAATCCTGTCTATTTTCCAGAATTGTGCATAGAGGATCCTGGCTGTCGTTATCATGTATAAAAGTTTTCTAGAATGGTTTTTCTCAATAGATTCATCCAATTTGTTCACCATGTTTAGCAGGAAAACTTTAGGTTCCAAAGTAATTCTTGTGATGAGCATTTCATTTATAGCATTTACTATAATCATCCAGTAATGTTTTGCTTCTTGACAACGCCTCCACATGTGCATGAAATTGCCACCTTGTTTTTGGCATTTTCAACACTTCGTGTTCCCGGTTTTATATATTTTATTCAGTTTCGAAGGTGTCATGTACCACTGATATAATATTTTATAGTAATTTTCCTTATAGTTCTGACACAAGGTGAACTTATTGGTTATTTTCCAGGATTTCTCCCAGCTTTCTAAATTGATAGAACTTCAAATGTTTTGGGCCCATTTCACCATCATTTGTTTAATTAGTCTTCATGAATTAGTTCACTCAATGATTTCTTCAGTCTCTCCACAATAATAATAGCAAAAATTTTGTAATTGACATTAACCAGAGAGACCGGTCTATAATTCTTGATGTCTCTTTTATCACAATGCTCTTTTGGTATTAATGTTATTGATGACTCCTTCCAAGATTCTGGAATACCATCTCTCTGTATATTATTTAATACATTGTATAATGGCAGTACTAGGACCTCCTCCAATTTTTTATAATAAGTAGCCATGAAGTCATCTGGTCCAGGAGCTTTTCCAGTTTTCAGTTGTCTGATGGCTTCAGAGATTTCCTTTATAGTAATAGCCTGATTTAATCTCTCTTTCTGCGTCGCATTTAAACTCAGTATTTTTTGATTATCTAGAAATTTCCTAATTGCATCAACTTTGTTACTCATATTTTGATCTTTTTTTGTATAGAATTTAAAAGTATTCTTTAAATTCCTTTTTTATTTCATCCTGATTAGTAATATTTTTCTGATTTACTAGCAATTTGGTTATTTTTTTTTCTCTTTCTCTTTCTTTAATTTGCTTGCTAGAAGTTTCCCAGATTTATTTACATATACAAATTGTTTCTGTTTGGCTCTTTGGATTTTTGTCTGAAGCTAATGTTTTTAGTTGTTGTAAAATCTGGACTTCAATCTTTAAATTCTTGTCTCCTTTTTGTTTCCATTCTCCTTCTTTCTTCCTTAATTGTTCTAGCAATTTAACCTTCTTCTTTTGCTCTTTTTTCTTTTCTACCTGAATTTTAATAATTATTCCTCTAATTACAGCCTTACTTGCCTCCCACAAAATATTGTTGGATATTCCTTCAGACTTGTTTTCCTTAAAATAAAGTTTTAATTCGTTTCTAATTTTATTTAATGTTTCCTCCTCACTGAATATAGTATCCGGTAATCTCCAAGTATATTCTGTCTTTTTTCCCACTTATCTTCAACAGAATGGGGTTATTTTATTCCAAATTAAAATTCAGAAAGCAGTACATTTTAAGAGCATCTGTTTTACACACTTTTAAAGACATGCAACAGTATATTAACTGCTAATAATATAAGTTAATATAAAACCAGCTTTTTAAAGAATGAAGATATGCCTTCTGTATACACCTCCATCCAGACTGCAATCTGAAGAACACTCATTAGAGACAATGTCCCATTAAAAGTAGGAGGATTTCCTTCTGAGTAAGTTTACTTTGGGATTGTGCCTATAGTGGTTCAGTTTAAACTGCACACCCCCAATCTCAACTCACAGTTTGGGACACCTGCCACTGACTCACACTCTCCTGCCTCTCCACGTCACCCCTCCCCATCTTCATGCATTATATCCCCCTTATCCTGGTTTGACTAATGCACATTTTGCCATGACATCTAAACTGTACAAACTACAGTAGCAGCAGTTTTTAGTAGTAGTAGTTGCTATTGTATGCCTTCAAGTTGTTTTCAGCTTAGGGTGACTCTAAGGCAGGGGTCAGAAACCTACGGCCAGCAGACCCCCGCCAACCGGCCCCGCGGTCACTACTGCCACTGCGCGTGTGCCGCCGCTGCCACCATTTTGTTTGCCAAAATGGCGGCTGTGACTCATTTGTGCATGTTTGCCAAAATTGCGGCATGGCCAAAATGGCGCCCTGGAGGAGGTCCGGCACTGTCGAGGGAAGCCTCCTGGGGAGCCCCCTTGGAGGCCTGGCGCTGCCAAGAGAAGCCTCCTGGGGGCCCCCGTGGCAGCACCAGGCTCTCGGAGGCCCGGCACTGCCGAGTGAAGACTCCTGGGGGGCACCTGCGGCGGCGCTGGGCCTCTCGGAGGCCCAGCGCTGCCAAGGGAAGCCTTCTGGGGGGCCCCCCGGTGGCGCTGGGCCTCTCGGAGGCAGCCAAGGGCACCCTCCTGGGGGGGCCCGCCACTGTGCGCACGACGCAAGGGGGCGCCATTTTGTTTTTCAAAATGGTGGCACCCACGTGCAAGCACGCACAAGCACCAGTTCCCAGCGCCATTTCCCCCCCCCCCCCCCCCCCCCCCCGGCCCATCAGCAAAAAAGGTTGCTGACCTGTGCTCTAAGGTGAACCTATCATGTAGTTAGTCTTGGCAAGATTTATTCAGAGGGGGCTTGACATTGCCTTCTTCTGAGCCTGGGAAAGTGTTACTTGTCCAAAGTTATTTAGTGAGTTTCCATGGCCAAGCACAGAATCGAACCCTGGTCTCTGGAGTTGTAGTCCAACACTCAAAACACTATGCCATGCTGACTCCCAAACTATAGCTACCGCTTACTAGAAATATCCTGCAAACCACAATCTGACGCCTGTTGGTATACTTGACATACCTCATGTTATATTTGGGGCTTCCATATTTTCATATCTTAAGTCAGGCATACTCTTCAGAGGTCACAATGAGCCAACACTTCCTACCTACCCTCTGCTGTGCTCCTAGCCAACTAGCAGTGTGACACCAGTTTGGGGCTAGCATCAGGGTGTGCATCATCCAAATGCCATGCCCCCACGCCACCCTGAAGCCAGCTGAAAGCTGCTGGTCTGTTTCATCCCAAAGATGTTATTAACCAAACCTGGAATTCTCCATAGTCAGTACTGGTATAAACTGGTATAAACTGGTGAAAACGACCGTCAATGTTACCCAGCCTCTTGCAAGCTTCTTTGAGCTAATTAATTCCCCCACATTTTAAAGAAAAGCTGACACAGTTGGTGAGTACCCTCCTAGTCCCCCCATTTTTGGGGGGTAATAAGAGATAGTATGTAGGCAATTCTTGGTGAGAGTCAGCCATATTTTTCCTGATTTGAATGTCACAGCATGTTATAATTAGGAAAGCCAGGTAGAGAAGAAGGAAATTTGGGAGACTCAGTATTTCTGGTGGAAGAAGTTCCATCAGTAGAGGCATCCCATGACACATACATAATATATGTGGGTGAGGGCAAATTGCTAGCTTTCAATCAATCAGAATTGAATGACTGATATCAGATGCTATAGAAGTGAAATCTAGATCTCAGTGAGATAATGCACTTAAAGGGGAGATAGTGTAGTTTTTAAGTTCCCCAACAACCACGGTGAATTTGTAAGTCTTTTTAATAACCTACTGTTAAGATATTAAACTATTTATAAAACAACAACAATTATAAAAGGGGGTTAACTTTGGCTTCTCCTAGCCAGAAAAGATTGTCTGGCAAGAATCAATAAAGCTTGTTTGGAAAAGGATTTGACATCCATACATTCTCCTGAAGAAAACTGGCAAAGGAAACTTAATATGAAAAAGGTTCCTGCCACATCAAAGGCTACAAGGCTGCATCCCTTTCATTGCTTTCCATACTTCCCTTCATGAACTCCCTCTCCTCTCACTGTGGTTGATGAAGTCACGCCATCTACAATGGGGCTGCAACTTTAAACAAAGTAAGAGAACAAAACCTCTGACATGTTGACAGTTCCTTACAGTTTAACCAGATAGGATTTATGCAATGTTACACAGGCAACCTGATTTGATGGACAAGAAGTTAACAAGTTTCTCTGCATTCCTATTCACAGATTATGAGTTAATTTACTATAAAAGATCTGAATATGAATGCTTTTTGAAGATCCAGACAGCTCCTGTGTTTAATCCCTGAAGATTTGGGTGGTGAATTTTATAGACAAGATAGATAAGGGACCAATTCTTATCCATAAGGTGCACAAGAGATAAAGACTATAAATTTAAAGATTATTCCATTTGCAGAAGAATCAAGATTTCTTGGCCACCTGCCAGTTATAGTCTTCTGTTTGTCATCAAGCAAGAGCCCACATGGCAATGTGTCTCAAGTCTTAGCGTGACGGAAAACATAATGGGCATAATACTGCAGGGGTTTTTGGCTTCCAAACAAATGCTATGCATTAAAAGCCTACACAAAGTATGTTCCCCATGGATTGTACTCCTTGTATTTAATTTAATTTAATGGATTTTTTTTTTAAAAAAATCTAGGCCTGGTGAGATTTGTGATGAGGAGATGGTTTGATTTTGAGGTAGAAATCAGTGCATTTATCATTATATTGAAAAATCAATAGTGCTGGGCTCCACAACTGCTTTCTTCATGCACTTTTAGTTTTAGGACAGCCAAAATAAATTGCTAATAAGCATGCTAATAAATAAATATGAGTAGAATATATGACACAGTATCTGTACACATACATGCCTATGATGTTGACTGACCTGCATTAAAGGTTGTCATGGGAAACCATAAAGTGCACACAGATGATAAAGCCCAATCAATTATTATTGGTGGATAACCCTTCCATCAAGCACATCAAATTTACATAATCATTGCATCATCTACTTGGAGCACAAAGTTCCATGTATAACCCATGACTCTGGACCCATCTGAAATGAGCATATGTGTGCTGTCTTTCATAAAATGAAGCTTATGGTCAGATTGAATGAATCCAAGATATTTTGTTATCTATAAATAAATTGACATGTATACACATTTTCTCTTATGGACAATTTATTCTGATACTGCTGATAAGGTAGAAAGGGAACAAGCTATTCCAGATACCAGTATCCACACCTTTCTGACCATTTTAGATCTTGGTCTGGAATAACAGGAACTCATCAGGTATTGTCCACCACTTTGAAGTAAAGTCCTCTCAAGTCTTAAAACTGGCTATTTAAAAAGAATGAAAAGAGATATTGTTTTAAATAATGAAGAACATATCAATTTATCAATACAGGTGCCAAAATTGGTTTAAAGAGTGTAAGACCTTTCATTCTGTGTATTTTTCAAGTCCTGTATTTGCTATCCTCATCTGCACACTTGTTTTGAAACATGTTGTTAAACTTCTCAGCCAGTACTTGCTGAATTCCTTTCTAATCTTTGGAGGGCATTCTGCTAAGTGTCATTCAGAGAAGGATTTATTCATTTTTACAAGGTTAAAGCAATAAAAGGAACCAGTAGTTCTGTGTGATAGATAGGAGGACACAACCAGAAGGAGAAGTTAAAACCAACAAGAGCAAGTCAACCCTGCATTAATTTCATGTGCATATTTAAAAAAAAACCTACAGCAACCCTTGAATTACAGAAGAAAAGCTGGAGGGCCATGCAAGTCCCAAACCCCTATAACTCTAATTTTAGTCACTAAATTTCCTGGTGGTCTTCTGAGAATAACTGGTAAGTTGGCCATCACAAAGAGTGTGTGTGCCAAGTTCTTCTGGCCCTCTGCAAATTAAAGTGTATTCTACAAAATGTACACAGAAATAAACTGAAACATTATATTTAATGAGCTTTCATTTTTCTTTCCTTCTTTCATTTTCCAGGCTTTACATCTAGGTTTTGCTACAGCAAATATGCTAGCACTGTTGCCAGGATCATGAAGGGTAAGAATGTTAATTATTTCTCTTATTGCATACTTTTTGAATAATTAAAAACATTGCACACACTTGAAACAAGAAAGGTACAAGTACTTTGAAATTTGTTTTTTTGATAGGTCTCTTAAAACAGACAGAAATTATCATAGCGTTTTTTGTCATTCATCTCCTCCTCCTCTTCTTGCCTCTGTCTGTTAGTGTCAGATAGAGCAACTAAATGTTTACACAAATAAGACTATTTTGGATTGTGAAAAACATGAGTTTGCCAAAAGCAGCACAAGAAGAAACCAGAATTTTCCTTGGTTGAAGGAACAGACTATTTATAATCCAAGTTGGCTCTTAGACTTTCTAGAATAAAATTATAATTCAGCTCATTACAGTCGACTACAGGGTGAAGTTAATTTCACAAAGCAGCTTCATTTTTTTATTTTTTTTATTTATATACCACTTCATACCAAGCTCTGCAGAATCTAAGCGGTTTACAACTGTAAACTCATTGCTCCCCAACAACTGGATACTCATTTTAGTGACCTCGGAAGAATGCAGGCCTGAGTCAAGCCTGAGCCCTGGCTAGGACTGAACTTGCAACCTTGTGGTTTGTGATTGAGTGGCTGCAGTACAGGTATTTAATCACTGCACCACCAGGGCTTCTGGTGATGAATGCCTGAAAGCAACCATGAAGTCAGGTGATTTTAGACTTTGGATTTAATGGCTTTAAAGGGGAAGGGAACTCTATACATAATAATATACATCACTACACTTCACCTTGTAGTAAGTCAGTCCTACTTCAATTTGGGTGTCAAGCTCCTTAAAGTCCTGACAGCATCATATCCTGGAGACCATAATTCCTAACTAATGCTTCTCAATCTGAAAAAACAAACAAGCAAACAAGCAGCCAGTGACTACTAAGAGACAAGGAAAGCAAACTTTGCACATACTCATGAGCTGACATGCATAGAGACCCTTCTGTGGACAACCCTGCTATTGAAGCTTTATCACCCTATCTGTTTAACTTGTACTCTGAATATATCATATGTAAAACAGAATAAAACTCAGAGGAAGAAGGCATGAAAACTGGAGGAAGAAACATCAACAATTTAAGATATGCAGATAACACAATACTACTAGCAGAAAATAGCAAGGACTTAGAATTACTACTGAAGAAAGTACAAAGGCAGGGTTACAGCTGAATATTAAGAAAACAAAAATAATGACTACAGATGATTTACATAACTTTAAAATAGACAATGAAGTTGGTGAAATAGTTCAAGATTTTCCATACCCTTGCTCAGTCATTAATCAGAGTGACAACCCAAGTCAAGAAATCAGAAGAAGTCTAGGACTTGGAAGGGCAGCTATGAAGGAATGAGACAAGATTTTGATGACTCAAGATATCTCATTGAATAGTAAAGTCATGATTTCCCATGCCATTGTAACTCTCATTTCTATGTACAGTTTTGAAAGTTGAATAGTGAAGAAAGCTGATAGGAAGAAAATCAATTCATATGAAATGTGATGCTAGAGAAGAATTCTACAGAGACCGTGAATTGCTAAAAAGACAAATAAATGGGTCCTAGAGCAAATCAACCCTGAACTTTCATTAGAAGCCAAAATGACTAAATTGAGATTATTGTAATTTGGACATATCATGAAAAGACATAACTCACTATATAAGACAATAATGCTTGGTAAAGTAGAAGGCAGTAGGAAAAAAGGAACTGCATTACAGATGGATAGACTCAATCAAGGAAGCCAAGGCCCCCGAGTCTGCAAGACTGAGCAGGGTTGTTGGTTATAGGGTGACTTGGAGGTTTTTTATTTATAGGGGTGAAATAAGCCAATGTTGACTTGATGGCAGTTAGCAACAATAACTACCCAGAATAATTAACTAACATACTGGAAAGAT